GCTGCCGCCGCCGCCGCTGCCGCCCCTGCTGCGGCGCGACGAGCAGCCGACCCACACCGCCTCCATGCAGCGTCACAGCAGCGTCGGCGACCGGTTGGCAGCTTGCGGTGCGCGCGGAGGCGAGGTGCTGCTGCCGAGCCTTTGCGGGGAAACCATCGGATTGGAAAGGGCCCAGCGCCCCAGCATCAACATCATCTAGCCCGCTGCTACTTTGCCGCGCCGCTGCCTGCTTGGTGTACAGCTCTGTATAAGAAGAGCCGCCTGCGCTGCCATGGTGAGCGAGAGCCTGCGCACCACCTTCTGCTGCGTAAGAAGCGGCTACAAGCCGGGGCGCCGCCGCCGCGGGGCGCACAGGGCATGCGGCTCGCGCGACCCGCTCCCTGCCCGCGTCGCTGCTGCCCCGCCGCTCGCGCGGCGCCTGCTGCAGCTGCGGCTGCCGCTGGGCGGTCAGCAGGGCGACTTCTTCGGCCTCTGCCAGCGCCAAGGCCGCGTGCACGGCCTGGCTGAGCGTCGGCTGCAGCGGCGCGCCAGACGCGAGCAGCTTCCGCAGCGCTGCCGCCGGCGAGCAGCTGTCGGCCCCGGTCGTGGGATGGCCGCCGTCGGAGCCCTTGCCGCCTGAGGGCGCACCGCCACGAGACCTTCCCAGCGGCGAGGAAAGACCGGAGACGCACGCCGGAGACGCGCCGCTGTCGGAGGCGCTGCGCTGCTCATATGCAGAGCGCCATGTGCCGCTGTTGGCGTGGCCCACAGCCTGCCCCGCCGCCATCGCGCCGCCGACTTCACCCACCTGTGGGCTGCCGGCCTTCTGTGGCGACGCCCATGCTTGCTGCAGCTGCTGCTGCTGCTGCTGCTGCTGCTGTTGCCGCTGCGGCCAATTGACTTGCACAAAGGCAACCCCGTCCCCTGCGGCCGACGGCAACATTGCCTGCCCGGAGGCCGCCCCTTGGGTTTGTTGACTAATCTCGTGGGAACCCACATCGTGCGGCTGCACGGAGCCAGGGGGGCGCAGCCGCGGCGAGCCCTCTGTGCCGCAGCCGAGCGCGGCAGCTTCTAGGAAGGTTCGAACCTGGCTCGAGGCCCTGGCCATGGGCGAGCCGTTGTGCCGCCATTCGGCAGGGGTGTAGTCCCTGTGCTTGTGAGCAGGGGTGGTGGGTTGCGGTGCAGTTCAGCGTCTGAAAGGACAGCGAATACAGCATAAAAAGGTGGTATGCCCACAACAGCGCTGTGTGAACCACATCAAGCGCACAGCGCAGCGCGGCACGGTGCAGCACAGCACAGCTCCGTCCTACGGCACCGACCTCGCAGCAGGCGCCGCCGTCACCACCGGCGCGGCCGTCCACGGGCGCCGCGGGTCGGGCTGCTTCGAAGCCCAGCTGTTGAGGGCGAGGCTGCGGCTGCGGGCGTTGATCTCGGGCGTGAAGGTGACGCCCGCGTATGCGTGCTCCTGGATTTGTGTGGGGGCGGGCAGCGCGCAGGCGCAGAGGGCCAGCTCGAGGCGATGGGGACGCCGGGTTGTTAGGCGTATGGGCAGGCAGGCCGGAGGCGGAGGGATCAACGCTGCGGGCACACAAAGGCTCGCAGATCAGTCAGAACCGGCTGATGGATGGTTTCAAACCCTAGGGCCCGAGGCAGGGCACTTGCGGGACAGCCTCGCACCTCCTTGTCGGCAGCCGCCATGAAGCCCCGGATCTGGCGGGCAGCCTCCCAGGCCTCGAGGCAGTCGACGCCGCGCTCCATGCGGCTCGACGCCTCGTTGATGGCCGGCGCGACTGCGGCAGGAGGCAGGGCGAGGGTGAAAGTGGCTGTGATTTCAGACGGCAAATGTCCACATGACCATAACGCCGTGCGCGCCACCAAGCCGCCACCAGTTGCCCCAGAAACTGCGAGAATGATTGAGCCATGCAGCAGCAGCGACTCCAGCTCGCAGCTGTGTGCCCAAACCCGTGCGCAGATTGCAGCGCCCGAAAAGGTGCAGCCAGCTGCCACTCACACGTGCAGCTGCGCTCAAACTCCTCCTGCGCCGCCTGCTCGAGCTCCTCCTCCTGCCGCCTCAGCCTGTCTGCCCTACGGCGCAGGTCAGCTTCCTGCCTGTCCAGGAAGTCGTCAGGCAGGTGCCCCCAAACCCCGCCGCCGGCGCGCCGGTACGCCGGCCCCGCGCTGCGCGGTCGCTGCCCCCGCAGCCGCGACTCCGCGCGGCCCTGCGGGCTCCGCGCACCCGAACCCCAGCCGCCGCCGCCGCTGCCGCTGGCAGCAGCGAACGCGCGCGCCTGCTCCTGGCGCTGCGACGCCAGCCGCGCCGCGCGCAGCTGCGCGTCTCCGTGCAGCCGCGCGCTCACACGGCCCCACTCCTCCTCGCTGAGCCGCCTCGCGCGCTGCGCCTGCATGCTTTCAGCCTCGCCGCGGCCGCCACGAGGCGCGGCACGGGCCACGCCAACTAGGAACGGGCGCTCGGGGGCGGGCCCCTCGCCGGGCACGGCGCGGCAGGGGCGCGGCGCGCTTTTGGCGCGGCGCCGGCCGGCATTGGGGCCGGGCGACGCATGGTAATCGGCATGCAGCGCCTGATGCGACGCGCCCGGCGACGCCACGGAGCAGGTCAAGCCACCATGGCGCTGGATGTGGCGAGCGACGGCCGCGGCCTCCCGCGGTGCGCTGATAGGGCCACTCTGGGTTTGCATGCGGCATGAGCAACACATGGGGCAAGTGCATGGGTACTGGCACGCCTGCAAACATGCATGCATGTACGTATGAATGCATGCATGCAGTTGCAGAACCGACAGGCCGCCCTAGTTGCTTGATCCATGAAGCAATGTCATCCCTACTTGGTCAGCTGTCCCATGCCATGCCAGCAGCCTCACCTTGCCGTGCGGTGAATGTGGGGCCTCCCCCAACGTCCTGCGCCCGGGGAACTTTCCGGCAGAGAACAGAGACACCAAGGGGAGCTGCTGCTGCCGCGTTTGAGACACAATGGCATCGCACACGCTGTCTAGTCCCGCTGCGGCACCCCTAACCGCGCTGGGGCCGAGGCGCTGGCAGGCACCAGGGGGCCGGGGCGATGCCCCGGCTGCTGCCAAGTGGACAGCGGGCATGGCAACGGGGCCAGGCGCGCCGTCCTCGTCGCGTGTAGTGGCGCGGCTGCGGCGCGCGGGCTGTCCTGGGTAAGACCTGGCCCCGCCTGCTGCACCGTGCCGGCCTTCCTCCCCGTCGTCCTGCTGCTGCTGCTGGCGCAAAGGCAGCTCTAGGTTTTGCTCCTGCTGGTGTTGTTGATGAGGCTGTGTGTGGTGTTGCTGCGGCTGCGGCTGCTGCTGGATACCAACCCAGGGGATCAAATCGCAGTCATCTGTTGCATAAGCGGCGGCACTGACTGTACGCACCAGGCGGCCAACACCTGCGCCCATGACTTCTGCCTGGGGCCCGAGAGCCGCTGCAGGGGGGTCGTACAAGTGAACGCTCTCAGCAGGCCTGCGGCGCAGCTGCACCCGCGGCGCAAGGCCTCCTGCTTTGACGGTGCTGCAACTCTCTTCGCGGCCGCAGCCGAGGGTCTCCGTCTCGGTGTTGGCCGCCGACTGGATGCAGGCACCAGGGCCGCAGCTGGGCCACGCGGTGCTGCCAACTGCTGCGGCGGCGACGGGCTGGTGTTCGTCTGCGCATGCATCTGTTGCCATAGGTGCCTCCGCAAGCTTAGAGCGCCTGGCTTCTGCTCTACCGGTGGGGTCGAGTGACAAAGAATCAGCACCAGCACTCCCAGCAGCAGCAGCAGCAGCAGTGGGGGTTTGCGGGTCGGCCGCGGCGGAGAGTGGCGAGGCCATGCCGTCCACCGCCGACAGTATTATCCTATCTATTTCGCTAGTCATCTGGCCGAACATCGAGGCCACAAACCGAGCCACTTGTTCCTCCCTGCTTCCCCTCATTTTGCAGAGTTTGACTCTGCCGCTGAGCCACAATTTGCTAGACTTTTTGAGAATGATCAAATTTTATAGACCCTGAAATGAAATCTACAGTTCCGTGGCAGTGTTCTTGGACGGTTTAGGCGGCAAGTGTCGTTCGTTGCGCCCAGTTGCAGTGTTTAGCAGGATTGATCGAGAGCTGCATGGTATCTGCGGTAAGTCGTCTATTTATTGGTAAACTTTTCTGTACACTGGTCGAGGACGCTGGCCTCATCACTCCCAGTGACCCAGACACGCCTAACTTCATATCACACAGTAGATGGCTCCCCACGCTACCTGATCACCTGATATAGTACGATACGGCTACATTTGAATGATTGCACAATTCACTTCTTGATTGCAGATCACGTGCATGATCTCTATCCGAACGAGGGCCACGTTTTGCACGGTACAAGGGCCTACGGAAAGGGAACAGGTGCTGCAAATACATATCAAAAGGTGACAGGGCAATTTTCGGCAATTGGCAGCAAACGACCCCAGCGTTTGGCCGCAAGCGACGTGGTGCTGCGTGGCGGACATCAGTGAGGTCAGCATGCATGGATCAGGTGGCGGCTCAAGCGGCGTCCCCCATCACCATGTACAGGACAGCGGCAACGGAGGTTCGCGCATGACGGGGCCATCTGCAGAGCATGGCGACCCGCGCAGTGGGGGCCAAGGCCAGACGAGTGGTCTGAGTGCTGCTGCTGCGCAGCAGCAGGGCTGGCCGCAGCAGACGCCACAGCAGGGGCCATGGCCGCCAAGACAGCAGCAACGGCAGCAACCTGCTTACTACCATTCACAGCAGCAACAGCAGCAGCAGCAGCGCCAAGGACAATGGCCCCCGCCGCCGCCTGCCCGTGAGCCGTGGCCGCCGCAGCAGCACCAGCGGCATGACGGCAGCCCCGGCACACTCTCCATGGCCGGGCTGGCGCTAGCCGTCTCACAGGCGGCCCCCCAGACCTATCAGCAGCAGCCGCCACCCCCGCCCCCCCGCGGCCCCGCGGCCGGCCCCGCTCTCGGCACCAGCCCCGCCGCGGCCGCACGCCACGCGCCGCAGCGCGCCAACAGCGCCGGCGCCTCGCGGTCGGGCGGCGGGCGGACATTCTTTCCGCCCTACTACGATCAGTCGCAGCTGCAGCCACTCATGAAGCGGGGCCAAGTGCTGCGGTGAGGCGCTCTTATGCTGCGCTGTAAAACGCTGCTGTGCCAGCGATTGTCGGGCCTCTGTTCGGCCAGCCCCTGCACAACGCCGCCAGTTTCACGATGCCCTTTTTCGCACCAGGCGTGTTTCAGTCCTGTGCTCGCGTCTTTTCATCCGCTCTCGCCTCTCCTGCGCCGCACTGCCCGCCGCCCCGCGACACGACCCGCGACCCGCGCCCGCCGCTCTCCGCAGCTGCAAGCTGCGCGCCAACGCCGCCAACCGCTCCGAGGCGTTCTGCACCCTGGAGGGCCTGCCCTCTGACCTGATGGTGCGGGGGGAGCGCCAGCAGAACCGCGCGATCGACGGGGACGAGGTGGCTGTTGAGGTGGCGGCGCTGGACCAGTGGTTCTGCATCTACGGCGAACGGGACCAGGTGGGCGGTCGAGTGGGGTTGCACTGCGGCAGCTTGCAGGCATCCGCCGCGCTGATGTACCGGGCAGGCGGGCACGGGCGCGGGCGCAGGCACGGGCGCGGGCGGTTTG